CCTCGTGCCACGGTGAGAACCCCCACCGCCCCCTGCCTCCGTCCTGTGCCACGGTGAGACCCCCCACCCCGCGTCCTGTGCCGGTGAGACCCCCCCACCCCGCACCCCCATCCTGTGCCAGGTGAGTCTCTCTACCCCTGGACGTTTGCCTGTCGCACTCACCTCTGCTCTGTGCCCAGTGCCGTTTCCTGGCAGTCTGGTCGAGCCCGGTGTCACGGACCCCCCAGGATCGGGACCACAGCCCCAGGGTGGGGACAGGCTCTGGGAGGCCCCATCAGTGGGCCAGGCCCCCGAGGGGTCTCACACCTGCAGGGGAAGCCACGTGGCTTCATCGCCTCCTGGGGCTGGACCCCTGGGCCTGCAACCCCCCTGCTGCCCCCCACCATGAGCTCCAGGCAGCGAGTCCCCCTGAGATAGACCCCGACGGAGACTTGTACCGCTTGGGGGGCAGCGCCCCCTCTGCCAGCGTCTGCAGGGACTCACAGCCAGCGCGAGCTGAAAGGCGGGTTATTAGTCACCTGGACCACCCAGGGAGCCCTTGGGGAGCCCAGAGAACAGAAAGTTACAGCCGAGACCATCCTGGTCAGTCCAGAGCCCCATCCCTCTAACCTCCCTTTGTCCCAAGGCAGGTGCACTCAGAGCCCTCGGCAGCCAGCATTTAACTCCCCCCCGCCCCGCCCCCAGCCCTTTGATCCCGAGCCGAGCGGGGGGATGCGGCTCAGCCCCCTGCCCAGTGGGGGGGGGGTGCAGATCTCTCTGGGTCGCTGGTTGCTGGGGTCCGTGTCTGGGCAGTCGGATTTGCCATTGTCTTCTCAGAGCTCCACTGCTATGGGACCTAAGGGCCCAGACAGCTGAGAGCCCATCACACCTGTGTTAGCCGGCCCGGAGAGCGACAGGCCTTTCTATCCCCGAGGTCACTGCAGCACATAGGGGAAACTGAGGCACGCATAGGCTTCATGAAAATATTACAGCCAATTCCTGCTTCATTGCAGTGGCATTTCTGGTTAGGACATTGCAAGGCAGAAGGGTGGGCTTGGGGACGCAGAAGGCTGTTTGGTGGGTTGGGGGGGTTCTCTGGTTCCAGTGTCAAAGGGCACGGGAAGGGGAGGCTCTCGCACCAGTCACCAGCCCTAGGACATAGGCGGGGATGCCACGATGACCTAGGACTGCTCTGGCCAGCCAGGATCAGGGCCTGTCTCTCTGGCTGTCCTGCCTTCACCCCGGCTTGGTGCTGCTGCTGTCTGGGCTCGGAGGCTCAAGTGAGAAGAGCGACAGGGGAGCAGGACAGAAGGGTCCTGGTGTCACGGACTCACAGGACTCGTGACAGGTTTCAGAGTAGCAGCCGTGTTAGTCTGTATCCGCAAAAAGAACAGGAGTACTTGTGGCACCTTAGAGACTAACACATTTATTAGAGCATAAGCTTTCGTGGACTACAGCCCACTTCTTCGGATGCATACAGAGTGGAATAAATATTGAGGAGATATATATACACACATACAGAGAGCATGAACAGGTGGGAGTTGTCTTACCAATTCTGAGAGGCCAATTAAGTAAGAGAAAAAAAACTTTTGAAGTGATAATCAAGGTAGCCCAGTACAGACAGTTTGATAAGAAGTGTGAGAATACTTACAAGGGGAGATAGATTCAGTGTTTGTAATGGCTCAGCCATTCCCAGTCCTTATTCAAACCGGAGTTGATTGTGTCTAGTTTGCATATCAATTCTAGCTCAGCAGTCTCTCGTTGGAGTCTGTTTTTGAAGTTTTTCTGTTGTAATATAGCCACCCGCAGGTCTGACATTGAATGACCAGACAGGTTAAAGTGTTCTCCCACTGGTTTTTGAGTATTATGATTCCTGATGTCAGATTTATGTCCATTAATTCTTTTGCATAGAGACTGTCCGGTTTGGCCAATGTACATGGCAGAGGGGCATTGCTGGCACATGATGGCATATATCACATTGGTAAATGTGCAGGTGAACGAGACACAATCAACTCAGGATTGAATAAGGACTGGGAATGGCTGAGCCATTACAAACACTGAATCTATCTCCCTTTGTAAGTATTCTCACACTTCTTATCAAACTGTCT